AATTTCTTATGTGACCGCAGACAGAGAGTGAGGGTCAACGGAACGCTATCCGACCGGAAGCCGGTCAAAAGTGGTGTACCACAAGGGACCATCTTAGGCCCTCTGCCCTTCCTTCTCCACGTTAATGAGTTGCCGCTGTTACTTAGGTCGTCGACATTATTATTTGCGGATGACGTAAAAATCGGGAGAATAATAAAAAGTGCGGCTGATCATCTGGATTTTCAAGCTGACTTAGACGATTTAGTTAGATGGGCTCGAGGCTGGAGCTTAGAAATCAATGCTAGGAAGAGTGTGCTAATGCACATTGGTCACGGTAATAGTTACCCGTTATACTATTGGGGGTAAACCTCTTCCATACGTTCAACAGCATAAAGACTTAGGAGTAGTATTAAGTCATTATTTAAAAACAACTACGCATTACAGCCGCTGTCAAAGGTTTTCGTGCGTTATAGTTACTTCGCCGAGCGTTCAAATCTTTTGACGAGTAAACGTTTCGAATTTTATATCCCACCTACGTAAGACCACATTTAGAGTAGTGTATCCAAACAGCTAGCCCATGTCAGGTAAAGGATACTAACTCACTTGAGCGTGTCCAGAGTGTGGGAACAAAATCAGTGGCGAGTCTATCTGAACTCCCTTACGATGAGCGTTTAAAACTTCTAAAACTTTTCCCCTTGTCGTATCGTAGGACGTGATGTGACCTTATACTGGAATTTTGTATCTTTAATTGTGATTTGGGTGTTAATGTGTCTTATCTTTTTGCTCCCTCCAGCACTAATAATCTCAGAGGTCATAGCAAGAAGGTTCACAAACCATGATCTAATGAACTTAAAGTGGGGTCCCGTTTTTCTCATCGAGTAGTCAATGATTGCAACGCCTTGCCCCAACAAGTGGTATCAGCCCTATCAGTGAATACTTTCAAGGAAAAGCTGGACCTTCACTGGAAAGCAATGTGTCAGGATTAATACAGGTTCATCAATCTACTATCCTTATTACTGAATATAATATGGACGTATACGTCCATATTTATAGACATTTTGAAAAAAAATATTTTGGAGTTGGGTCATCATTGTTCGTTCTACATACTGACATATCGTACTTAGTGTGCGTACATTGCAAAATAAGTATTAACCACAGGATTCAAATTACCTTGCGTACTTCTTTCAAACAGGTCTCAAAATTGTACCAACTTGTAAGTCATCGCGATAACAAAATATTGTAGTGTGACGTCGAGTTGAGGTTGACTATGAACACCACTACAAAGGAACGCGTGCCAGCATATCCATAAAATTCCCCGGAAGCCAAATATCAGAAGGCAGTTAATGGACCAAGTCGAGATATATTTGCTGGCGATCTCGTGGTAGAGAAAGAATACCGAGATCATGCCAGGATGCAAGCTTGGTTACTGAGCGTAACCGGATTCACGCAAGGTCACAATCGAAGTGTAAGAATAATAATGGAAGCACAATGTAGCTGTCACTAGCACAGTTAAACAAAGAGCACATTAAATCAAGCACTGGCACAATTGGTTATAATAATAATTGTTTTCATTAAACCATTCGTGTTCTCGTGATAAAAGTCACTACAATATAATTGAAGATTGGTCCTACATCGTACATCATCACGATGATATCGTTTTCGTTACTTGAAAGATTGACGTTATCAGACAGCGTGACTGAGCTCTAGAAATGTCTTGATTTGACCGCTTATGCAAAACTTTACGAGTAGTCGGGGCGACGCACCAATCATTTTACGATGGTTTGACCTTCAAGTGACCTTCAAGGGGGCTTTAATCTCCCTAGAGTCAACTTCGCGGAACACACGTACACTGGAGGCGACAACTCAACTGAAGCTCGGTTCTTCAACCTCATCGATAACTTGGGCTTATATGAAAATGTGAGGTCGGCAACTCGTTGGAGAAACAGTCAGACACCATCGCGCTTAGACTGTGTATTCACTAACGAAGAATTCCTAGTCGACAACCTCTCAATCCTGGCTCCTCTGGGAAAAAGCGATCATGCCGTCATAGCCTTCAGTTTTGTCATCAAAACTAAGCTAAGGTATCCCAACAATAATTTGCGATGGAATTTTAAACGGCTGAATGTGCGAGCTCTACATGACCATCTACAACAGGTGGTTTGGGATGTTCACCCTCAAATCGATGTGGATGGTCATTGGGACTTCTTGCTGCACACGCTCTTATGTGCTACAGACCATTCAGTTCCTCAAACGGTTCCCAAAAGCTTCAAGCCGCCTACAGTAATCAAGAACCGTACCCTTCGCCTGCTAAGCTGCAAAAGGCTTTGTTGGGCGGAATACAAACGAACTAATAACGATGGAGCGTATAGGCAATACAAACATATCAGGAACACATGCACGAAGGCTATAACAGAAGACAGGCTTCAGTACCAAACAAAGCTTATGGACAAATTCGCCTCTAACCCTAGAAGCCTATTCCGTTATGCAGCCTCTCTTCGTCAAGCCAAAACAGGAGGTTCTCAACTGCTAGGTCCTAACGGCCCGACCAACAACGATGGCGACGCCGCTAACCTTCTGGCGGCCCATTACTCTCAAACATTTCAACCGGCTGATATCAACTTTACTCATGACAGTTTCATCTGCAATTCCACAGGACTTTCTGAAGTGGACCTAAGCGCTGACTTGGTGTTCCGGAAACTGCAGCACTTAAGACTTGACACTTCTCCTGGCCCGGATATGGTTCATCCTGCCATACTGAGGGAGGCAGCCTCAATCATGGCAACGCCGCTTAGCGTGATGTTTTCACACTCGCTTAGCCGAGGCAAACTACCGGAAAATTGGAAGTTGGCTCACATCACACCAATTTTCAAAGGTGGTCGACGCAATGAACCTTCAAGTTACCGGCCGGTAGCTCTTCTGTCGTTACCTTCAAAACTCATGGAGTCCCTGATATGCGACGGTTTAAATGACTACCTACTGTCCTTAAATTTCTTCTCACCCCAACAGCATGGTTTCAGGAAGGGTTACTCTTGTATAACCAACCTGCTGACTGCGGTGGACAGATGGACAAGCATCCTCGATCGCAAGGGAAAGGTTGATGTCATTTACCTTGATTTCTCAAAAGCTTTTGATAAGGTTAACCACTTGTGTCTTATCAACAAGCTCAAACGACTAGGTATCAAACCACCTCTAATCGACTGGCTTACTTCATACCTAAAAAATCGACACTTTAAGGTTAGGGTTAATTTCACTTTATCTCAAGCTATGGAATGTCCTAGTGGGGTCCCCCAGGGCTCAGTACTAGGGCCTCTTCTCTTCTTGATCTACATAAATGATCTTCCTCAACAGGTAACGTCAGACTTATTACTTTTTGCCGACGACGTGAAACTTTGGAGAGAGATACGCAAGCAAGACGATATACAGGCACTTCAGGAGGATCTGACTCGACTTCAAAGTTGGGCAGACGATAACGGACTTACCTTTAACACTTCTAAGTGTAAAGTAGTCCATCTGCGACATGTCGCAAACTACAGTTACAACTTAGGAAACTCCTCTCTAGTAGTATCCCAAGTCGAAAAAGATTTAGGAGTCCTGGTGCCCCATGACTTAAAGTCTTACGCTAATTGTGACAAAAATGCCTTCCGAGCAAACCTTGCACTGGTAACGTTGAGGCGCATTTTTGGTCAGTTTGACGGAAGAACTTTCCACACAATCTTCAATAGTTTCATCCGTCCCCATTTAGAGTACGGAAACATAGTACTCCCCCCTCACTCCAAAAGGATAAGGTCACTTTGGAGCGTATCCAACGGCGAGCCACGAAATCAGTTCGAGGACTCAAATCTAAGCCTTACGAAGAACGCCTCCGTTCACTAGACCTTTACCCACTAGAATATAGGCGTCTTAGAGGTGATTTATTAATGGCTTATAGTATTCTTAACACTTCTGGACATCCTCTTAAACACCTACTTAAGCTTAGTTCGAACAATAACCTAAGGGGTAACACCCAGAAACTGGAAACACAACATAGCAAGACGGAATGTAGACACAACTTCTACTCCTTAAGAGTTGTCAAAAGCTGGAACTCGCTGCCGGCCGAGCTAGTCCAAGCGACTTCTCAGGAGTCCTTCAAGAGGCAACTTGACCTATTCTTAAGGACCAAGGACAGCATCGCACTATGATTTACCAATTTCTTTTCCTCTTTTATTGTTAACATACCTAGGTTCCTGCCTGGAGGATTTTGTGATCCCCTGCTACTAGACACGGAAGCTTGTTAAGCAAAAGCTTCTTCTATTCCGTCCACAACCATTTGAACCATTTGAAGTGCACAGCAACCTCCGACAGAAGACGATACTCCTAAGGCGTTGCCTTTCAACTCTCTTTGTGGCGTCACACCACTTTGATGAGTGTAGGTAGGTGGCTATCTGTCATCGCCTCGATAAAAACAACATAATATTCACCTTCGGGATTATCAAGGCACCTAAAATATACCTTACCATTCAAGGCGGTTCAAAACTGAGTACTGTTTTAGAATATATTCTAAAACAGTAGCTATAGCTACCAAATGTAATACAGCAATTCTCGTATGGTGTTTGTGCCAGCCAAGCCCATTTTTTCACTATACAATTGTATAGTGAGACACTTAAGTGTCTCATATCCCATGCGTTCATAGAAATCCGTAAATAACCTCGACTTCAAAGATGATAGTTGTTTATACACGGTGAACGACTGGGTGATTTCATATTCACCCAGGTTGGCTGCACTTATAAAGTAGCTACACCAACTAGTTTGTGTTCGTAAACATAACCATTTACCCTGTTAGTTTTCTTGGGGGTGATCTCATATTTTCAACACTCGGCACCTAAGTTTGTTTTTTCTCTAATGTCCACATACACCGATCGAAAGAATGTTTCTTTTCAGTTACCGATATTACTCCACCGTGGCAATTCCTTTTACGAAGCTAGTTGAGAACATTCTATCCAACTGAGTCAGAAAATCTATGTTGACATTATGTTTAGATGCGTGTCTGTCAGCACTTGATGAGGAACCAGGGGAGTACTACATAATTGGTTTTAAAGGTTCATGCTACTATTATCATTATGGTGCTCAAGGTGTGAATGACCAAGTAAGTTTTAAAAACAAATTATTTTAAGGGCTGGGGCTGTGGTTACAGAACACTGCAAACCACTTTATCTTGGTACAAGCTCACGAAATCCTGTCCTTTCGATGTACCTACTTTATTCGAAGTTCAAAATATATTGCATGAAATTGGGGACAAGCCTAGAGCTTTTGTAGGCTCTCATGATTGGATTGGAACATACGAATGTGGATTAGTAATACAATACGTGACAAAGGTAGGTCCTGATTCTTTAAAGAGCTGTTAGCATGATTTTAAGATAATACGTGTGGAAAATGGCCTTTTTACGGAGGAAATCATCAAATTGCTTGTTGATCATTTTCAAGTACACGGATCACCAGTCATGCTCGGTAAGTAGAAATCTCGTTTAACTTTTTAGGAGGACACGACGACAGTTCATCAAAAGGAATCATTGCAGTAAAAACGTTTCCTGATCAGCCAACAATGTTGCTAATTTGTGTAAGTTGGTTAAGTGATGTCTAAAACACTAATCAGATCTCGTTTGTGTTACGAACATGTGTGTAGATTAAGATTGATACCCGACAATTAAACCAATACCTAAAATCTTTGACTCAACAGTCTAACACTTTGTAAACTAAATGGTTTAAACCACTCATTAATTAATAAAATTATTCATTATCAGCCATATTCATCTTACACTTGAACATAAATATAAGAGGAAGTGAATGGTGCAAAACACTACCAGACTATACACAAAAGTGTATATATTACTTAAGTGAATCCAAGGCGCAGCATCAGTGCAGGCTAAAATCTCATTTGCTTTTAAATATGGCGAAATGCTCCTAATACTACCAATGAATTTGTATACACAAACCCAAACAGCGATGAAAGCTTTTGTAAACCTGAATCCGAAGTCCCAGATGTGGTTCTTCAAGTTTTGTTTGTGGATTTTAAACATTAGTGTTTCCTAAGTTATCAGCATGGAAGTCTGAAATCCACATCTATCAACCTAATGAGAAACTAAGAGTGAAAACATATCAATGATCAAGGCGACTACAACCAACCAGTACGCCGCAACTTGGTATCACGTAGTGAGGCGTGATATACTATTACATACATGAAATAGTTGAATCTAAATGACGATTTAATTTCGCTTTAGTAATTATATCCTGTGCATTTATCAAGTGTGATGTCTGTAGAGTAAATATGACCTAAAGACCAATTCTTTTACTGTTTTTAAGGATCCCCACTGTTTTGAAATACATGGCAGCCCAACTATCGCTAAATTGTGCAAAGGAAAGTGGTTACGATGGTGCAAAGTTACTGAATTGTCAGAAAGACACTTTTATAATTTGTGTTTGCCTTTATGAACAAATACATTTATTTTATAAGACGGAGCTTATGGTATGTCCTTGCAGAATTTGTCATACGTTTCTTTGAGAATAAGATAAGAGTCCAAATACCGTTCTTCGTTATCGCGACAGGCAGCTTTCCATCTGCAAATTAGAAAAAACAGCGAGTATTCAATATGACCATGATATTATTACACAAAAGTATCTTGTATAAACTCATGGTATCAGTTTACACTGTCCCGAAAGCTTCACAGTGTGGTTTGATGGGTTAAACGTTGGAAAAATACGACTACGTCATAGTGTGTATTCTACACGACAACAGATACTTCGAGAAATCCAAACTTATAGGACGTCTCAAATGGAAAAAATTAAAGAAGGCAAAATATACCGCTTACACTCAATTCCCCTATTTTGGGGAAACCGTTATACAAAACTTTTGAGAAATAGCACAAAACTCCCATAATTTCCCCAGGTCAGGGAAAAATCTCCAAAATGCTTGTGGGAATTTAGGGTTTTTCCCAATATTCCCCCAAAATCTTATAACACTAGGGAAAACCCCAAAATAAGGAGATCGAGCATAAAGAAGTGTCGCGGAACAAGGACATTAGCTAACAGTTAGCATGGTGGGATTAAGAATGTACTACAATCAGCATTGCAAACTGTACTTCAAATAACTTCGCTAACCCGATATGATGATCAGTAGCGGACAGAAATTATGATCCGCAGTTTATAGAAAGACTGAATTCGATATTTTAATAGTGATACTTATATTTTGTCACGTAACTTTCTCTGAAATGACTGTGGGACAGGAGTTCGGTAATTCAATTACTCAGTAACTAGGTTAGTTCGACCTTATCGCCTCCGACAGTATTTCCATCTCATTTTTATGTGATAATGATGACCACTGTTCAAAATGTTTGTGTGGTTTGCATTTAAGATGAGCCGTAGATATTAAGGTGAAACCAAACTTTCGATCAAGAAGCATTTCAAATGAGACTAATTTGCAACAATTCGCCTAATAGTTATCGATGTAGTCAACCATTTTACTTAAAAAAGCTATTAGTCTGTAAGATACTCCATCACTTCTTGGATAAATAGAGTTGATGTATTATGAAAGTATACATAAAATTGTCCGACAGTTTAAAAAAAAGTACCTACTTTCTTCGGATTTCTCTCCAACGGACAATGTGCTGTTCCAATAATCCTTCAGGAGACATTTCCTTAGGTGGGTTCTAAATGTTTTTAGAATGTTGACAGAAGCACCGAAAATTACCTCAACGTTTATAAGGAATGGCTGACCGTCCGATGGGAGAGGAGGCGGTATCCTGATGTCATTATCGGTCAATCCGTCACTTGGCTTAGGTAGCGTGTAATGACAGTCAGGCAACTGATCACTGTTCTATATTAGAAATGCCAACAAAGACAAACCATCAAAACCAGTTCATACGGAAAGATATAGATAAAGATTCTAGAAAATGAGCAAGTACCATACACTAAGTAGTAGAAAAGACTTATTTAACAATATGGTAGGCATTTGTTAGTACACGTCTATAGAGGCATCGATGTGAATGGCTACAATATACAGAAAAATGCTCATTAATTTCCAGGATTGTTATATGAGATTTTAGTGCATCGAAGTCACAGAAGATCCCACACTGCTTATAGGTTCACAGTAAGATTTTGTCACCAACCAAATATATCCATTATTCAGTGCCACGCGGACCCCAACCAAGTAGTCTGCACCTACCAACATGGCTCAAACCAGAAGTTGGTGACTTTGTGGACTGATGCCACGTTTTAGTTTGGCCGCCTATAACTTTCTTTAACACTAGTCAGCATTGCGTGTCGTGGTAATCGGTGTTCGTGCATACGTAACACGTGGCCGAACAATCTCAGTTGATGAATATTTGCGAACCCACCAACTGATTTAACATCATTCCCTAATACTCTGCGTCTAACCTTACTATTACTTACCCGGTGATCCCAGCAGATGGGAGCAATATTCCTGAGGCATCTGTAGCCAAATACTAGTAGCTTACGAGTACCTTCCTAACGTTTCGCATCCGCAAAGTAGAACAGAACGAACTGACGAGCAGTATATTCACCTTTTTTTGATAGACGGATATCTCGCCTTCGCCATAGGTGACGTAAGTTGACAAACGCCAAACGAGCTCTTCGAATCCGTGCAGAGATTTCATCAGACACTAACCAATTTGGGCTGATCAGACTTCCAAGATAAGTGAAGTTGTCAACGCGTTCCACTACTTCACTCCCTATCCTTAGTTCAGGTGTTGACGCAGGCCGGTTCTGAAGCAACAACTCGCATTTAGAGAGGGAGAAATGCATCCCAAATATTCTGGCATTGCTGCTCAGTGCCATCAAAAGACTGCATTTTACCAGAATCTTCACCAAACAAGACTATATCATTTGCGTATTCCAAGTTGATAAATGGAACTCCTGGTAGGAGACCAATGCCTGAACATCCAGTCGACGAGAGCGTTATTTCTATCAGTTTGTATGTGATAAAGTTAAACAAAAATTGAGATAGTGGACAGCCTTGCCAGATTCTACTTGAGGTTGCAAAAGCAGATGACAGTTCGCCATAAGCTCTGACTCGACTGGTAGTGTTCGAGTAAAGGGCCTTCACAGGGTTTATGTACTTCTGAGGTACGCCTTTCAATGTCAGACACTTCCATAGAATCTCGCGGTCTACCGAGTCAAATGCTACTTTCAAGTCAAGAAAGACCACCATTGTCGGACACCGATAAGTATGCCTGTGTTCTAGAATCTGACGAATGGTGAATATGTGGTCGATGCAGCCACGACCAGGTCTGAAGCCAGCTTGATTCTCTCGTGTTTGCAGTTCACGAGTCTTAGTTAAGCGTCTGATAATTATCGAGGCTAGTATTTTAGATATTATATTAGTTAAACTAATCCCTCTATGGTTGTCACAGGATGATTTTGACCCTCTCTTATATATTGGGACGATAAGTGATTGTGACCAGTCAGATGGAATAACGTCTAACTCCCAGATCTTAGCTAAAATATTAGTCAACCTAATCGCTAAAATTGGACCACCATCCTTAAAGACCTCTGGAGCCAATCCATCTGGACCAGCTGCCCTTCCTCGTTTCATATTAACTATAGCCTTTTGAACTTCTGCTAGAGTTGGGGGACCTACTTCAATGTTCCATTCACACTGTCTGGGAATGGAGGGTAGTTGTAGAGTAGCTGAAGGCCAGCTGAACTGTTCTCTGAAATGTTCCGCCCATCGTTTTAAACGTCTGGACTGGGAGCGGATAAGAGTGTCGTCTTCCGAAATAGTTTCACTAACATTTGACTTCTTAATTTCGGTTTCTTTTGTAAGTCTGAAAAGCTGTCTGGTGTTACCTGCAGCCGCTGTCTTTTCCATCTCTTGCTTTTGTTGCCCACCACTGCTCACAGTCGTTCCTTAGACTTTTAGTTAACTTAGAACTGATTTGTTCTCGTTCTTCACCGTGTTCAGAGCCCGAAGGGATGAGTTTACGAGGATCTATCAGTTCAAGAGACTTAGTAGAAATCCACTTGTTTTACGTAACCCTTTGGTTTGAATCACTAATAGATGTCACTGCTGTTTCCACAGCTGTTCTTACATCTATTCATGCAACATCTGGGTCAGCCTCGCTTTCACAACTATCTAAGTGTGATCTCAGTTGATTCTGGAATCTACTTTTGGCTTACTAGTCACTCAATTCAGTTTTAATGGGTCTTCTTAGTGTAGCTTTTCTGTGTCCAGTGAGGCCCAAGCAGATGCATGCCCGTATTAGTGCATGGTCAGAGTCCAAGCAAGTATTTTAGAACGAGCGACAATCTTCTATTGACCCTCTCCAACGATGACTGATGGCAATATGGTCTATTTGAGTCTATCGTTGGTTTGTTTCGAACCCATTATAGAATTTGAACATGTGAATAATGAATTTAAAAATGCCTTTGGATCCGCCTGTACTTTTCTACCCTACTTCACAGTTATACACCTTACCCAGCTTTCAATTATTCATGCAGCTAAAATCTTTGAGTTAAATGTGGTAACGGTTAGTGTGATTTTCAGGAAACAGATTCCCATGTTTTCCTAATCGGTAATTGATAATAATGTCTGAAATACAAAGCTCACCCTGTTCATTAGTCAAATGAAGAACATGGGCATACTTTAGGATAAGTTATTAACAACGACCTAATATTGTGTAAAATGACATGTACGCTTGTCGGATTTGCAGTGTTTGTATAACTCATCTATTTTGTTGGTTGACTCTATTGAAAAGTTTTTACACCGTTTACCAGCAAGCCAAAACTA